TAGTTTTATCTGTATTTTCAGTGTCTTGCCTTAGAAACAAAAAGCTCCTAGACTTGAATTTTTTAAGGAAGAATTTGAGAGAAAAACCAAAATCTCAATTATTCTAAAAAGGGATTTTTTTCTGGTCACATTTTAAGCATGTTTTCTATTTTTCTTTATGGCTTTATAAGAGTATGCTAAGCGACAAGGAAATGAACCAGCTCATCACATTGGTCATTAATGTTTAGTATTTTCTTTTTGCAGTCTGTTGCGTTTCCTCAGGACCTGACTGAAACTTATTTGCTGAGTTCCTTGGCTCAGCATGGGGAATATTTCTTACGGACTAAAGAGAAAAAATTACTTAAAATCTATTACTGCAGACTGCACTGGATGGCTCAAGGGACTGGCAATATGGTATTAAACATTTTATCTAGGTTACCCGTTCACATTTAGTCAGATCTGGAGTGACCAAAAGTTACTGTGTCTGATAGTTTACTAGTGGTTTACATGATAGGAAATTACAGTCTTAAACCATTTCAGAGAGATGATTCTATATCCCCAAACCTAGCAGCACCTTTAGCAATAGCTGCCATAATCGTGGCACTTTCCAAAAATTAATCTGCCTTAAAATGTACAATTGAATAATGAAGCCCTTTTCTGCAAATGCATGTTATCCAAAATCATGATCCATTTGACAGAAAGACTTACTGAATCAATGTAGAAGGTGTTTGATCCCACAAAGGTGATAGCATCTTGCAGCTCATAGTTGTGCACCCCATTTTGGTAATCCTGGTAGGGCGTCACGGTAAGAGCGAAGGGCCCCACGCTGTGTTTGCTCCAGTTGGTCAGCTTCACCTCCAGCGGGATGGGGTCCCCCACTTTGCAGTCCACCACAATATCGCAGTCGCAAAGCTTGCCATCAATGAGGATATCTGCAAATCAAGAAAACAATTCCACATTATGTGGGACTCCTGCTTTAGAAACTGTATTAATCTTGATAGGAAACTTACTTAACAAGAAAAAGTAACCCAAATGAAACCAAGAGTGCATGACGGTTAACCTCAGGAAAGAAAACCCAGCGCTGCAGTGTTGTGTAGGGTAGTGTTGCAGGGAAACTACTTGCAACAACCAGTTTATGAAGGTCTGATATCTGTCCACAGCTGTTGAAAAAGCTACGAAAAAGCCCAATTATGATCTATACACAGGCACCCAAAGATATCTTTTTAACCTCCTTGCTTGCAGGCCAAAGCCACAGACAACTTCTCATGCTTCTCCTGCAAATCAAGAGCATCAGGTGAAGGGAAATACAAACAGGAATCATCAATACAAACGGTAGCTAGATAGATCCAGGGCTGGATGCCCCTGTTCACATGTTACAGCCAGAATAAATCCTCCTGTATGGAGGTGACCTTTTGGAGCAGGACAGACACTGCCAGAATTTGCAATGTAATACATATACTAAAGTCCAGCTTATAAGGAAAAAAGGGATTTTAAAATTATACAGCAGTACTACGATCTTGTTCACTCTTTGTGCTTTAATTCATTCTGGGATTTCTATTTTTAACTTTCTACTTTTCTTTCCCTTACTGGGATAGCAGAAAATATAAAGCCTCTAAATTGGTTACTGCTGGGACAACGACAGCCAGAGTAATGTGTCCACTATCCTTGCCCATTTGCTTATACAGAACCAAAATGTTTCATTACCAACACACTATGAAATTGCTAGTCCAATTCCCCGCTCTGAAAGGGTTCCCAGTTGTGCAGTATTACTGTATTTTTCAGATGAGGGTTATCTCCGATGCACTATTAATACAGGAACATTTCTATTTCACTATGGGTTCATGTTCAGAGATAAGAGAAAGCCCTGGGCACGTGTAAGAAAGCATCCCCTGTGTGAATACCTATCCCCATGAGGCATTTCAATCACTCCAGCCCCTCCTCAGTCGCTTGCCTTATGACATACATCATATTATTCCTCTGCCAACAGCATTGGATTTACATTAGTAATATCCCCTCTTCAAGAAAAGACACTATTTTTATGCTTCAGGAGCTTTCACAGAAAAAAACATTTTACACCGAAGTGATTTTTTTTTTTTTTTTACTTATTTTTGTTTTGTTGCCTTAGATGAAAAACTACAAAATGATGCATGTTCTCATGATGCCCTTTAGCCGGGCAAACTGAACAAGCCTTAGCATAGCAACTGGGGAAAAAAAAAAAAGCTAGTGCCAAAGAAGAAACAAGTTCAGAAAGGGACATTTATTCCAGAGGTCAGGTCAGCAAAGCTGAACTACCCAGATGAAACGCCCTCCTTGACCAAAGCTGCCCAAATGCAGCAGCAAGTCCCAGATACAAGAGGCTTGGCAGAGTGAGCACAAAGAAACCCTGCAATGCTCAAGCTGCAGCTACCCAAAACCCATGCCGGTGTCCCAGTTGGAACAGTCCCCATGCCAAAACTAGCCTTTCCAAAGGAGATGCCCCATTTTTGACAATGATAGCACTGGTGAGGCCACACCTGGAGTACTGTGTCCAGTGCTGGGCTCCTCAGTACAAGAGAGACATGGACATACTGGAGAGAGTCCAATGAAGGGCCATGAAGAGGATTATGGGACTGGAGCATCTCTCCTGTGAGGAAAGGCTGAGAGAGCTGGGACTGTTCAGCCTGGAGAAGAGAAGGCTCAGGGCGATCTTATTAATGTGTATAAATACCTGAAGGGAGGGTGCAAAGAGGACAGAGCAGGGCTCTTTCCAGTGGTGCCCAGTGCCAGGACCAGAAGCAATGGGCACAAACTGAAACACAGGAGGGTCGCTCTGAACATCAGGAAACACTTTTTTACTGTGAGGGTGACCGAGTGCTGGCACAGGTTGCCCAGAGAGGCTGTGGAATCTCCATCCTTGGAGACATTCAAAACCAGTCTGGACTTCTGCCATCCTGGGCAACTGGCTCTAGATGACCCTGCTTGAGCAGGGGAGTTGGACTAGATGATCTCCAGAGGTCCCTGCTGACCTCAACCATTCTGTGATTCTGTGAAAGGAAGTTATAATCACCATTGCATTTTAGGAAAGGGCTAGCCATGTTTGGCCAATGCCATGCTTGGCATTGGATGTCTTTTGCAATAGCACACTCTAACGTTAGGGGCTCTCCTGCCCAACATGATCAAATTGCTTCTTGCAGGACTGCCATAAGATCATGGAGGTGAAGTAGTGATTATAACGGTATCCCATTATCTGGGATTAACTGACTTGAATTTTTCAAAACACAAAAATGTGTGTGTGTAATCTTTATGCTTCCCAGCCTCCTGCCACAGAAATGAAGTCCAGTTGCTTCCTTCAAAAGAACTGCATTTATATCAATTCATTACTTTCTATCAGTTTATGTTTTCAAGCTTCTCCCTGCAAGGTAAGTGCTTTCATTTAAAAAAAAAAATTTTAAAAAAACCTTTTTTTTTTTTCTGGTTCCTCCAGCCAGTGGGTCTTACAGCTGTGAGAACGGTTAGCTCCCCAGACCACCATAAACCTTCAGAAATAATCAGTGGGCTAAGTGAATGAATCTTTATTTTCAAGCTGCTTATCAACTTGCCTTTTAGCTTTAAAATTCAATGCTCTGCTGTAGGAATTGTAAATGAACCCTTTGCCCTCTGTCTCCACCTTTGTATCTAATAATAGCTCAGAGCATTGCTTCCCGATATCTTCATGTGAAAATAGAAAATCCAAACAAAAGGGAAGCAACTGTCTGGCTCAACCAGATTAATTTTCTTTCGTATTCCTAAAAAAATTCAATTAATTTAAGATTGATTTAAGACCACGTGTGTGCATACGTGCTTGTGTACATATTGAGAGATTATTTCCTTCCCTCCCAGCACACCCTTCCCTCTTGCAGTACCGAAGCCAAGGATCTCAATGAGATGTCAGATGAGAAAACACACATGGCTGGCGTGCAAAATACTATGGAGAGGAGTGTTTAAAAACAGTCCCCTTTCATCAGAGAGAACAGCTTGGTTTGACAGGCAGTTTTACTCCCTTCCTGACACAGAAAACATCTCATGGACCATACGGATTTGCTTTAATATTTTCATCCATGAACAGAGGAAAAGCCATGTGTACAGGGTCCCATTTCTGCAGATTCAGCTCACTCACACAGATGGCATATAAAAGCTGAGACTGCTCACACCACTGCTGTGAGAGTGAATCATTATTGGCTTCGGTATACAGTAGCTCTGAATCAGATGACACAGTTGCTAGCACAGAAGACAGTGGTGGCCGTATCTCCATCTTCCAAAGATTCAGAGACAAGATAAACAGTATTTCAGAAAATTAGAAGGAACAAGTTTAATGCAAACAGCATATATAAATTACATTAAAAAGGTGGAAGCATAAACTCTGGCTGTCAGGGGGAAAAAGGCAAAGACCTAGCAATCTCCTCCTAAATAAAAGTTAAACGCTTTTTTAAGTACTTTAATAAGCCAACAGAATGCTGCTGCTTTTCCCCCCGCCCCCTCTCTCTCTCCTTTCTTGCTCATTTACCTACACATGTCCACTATGTTGGCATCCTTGGGTGCCAACATTACCCTGCAATGCTTGATAGCCATGAAAAAAGGAAAGACACAGTCTTTCGCACCTGTGAACAGGCATGGGACCAATCTGAGGAAGTGCAGGATATTTTATTTCTAGGACCTTCTCTAAGTGATTATTATACCAAGGGAGAAAATGTTCAATACATTTTGGAAGGCAGAAAATGAGGATGATACAAGCCACTGAGAATCACAGAATCAGAATCATTTAGATTGGAAAAGACCCTTAAGATCATCAAAAGAATGGGTGAGAAGGGTGATTGGAAAGCCTTGCTTTATCACTGATGGCCTTAGCCAAGCCTTTTAAGATCTCGATGAATTCACCTTTTAGAAGGAAAAACTACTTCATGGCCAGTTGATAGGTGATGCTTATTGACACCACAATGGCTGGGAGACCATTATATGAAAATAATACATCAGATTTCATATAGCATCTGTCTTTCAGGATCTCAAAACTCAAGAAAAGGGAATGAATGTTACTAACGGGAAGACAACCACTATTCCACAAGAAAAACAATTTACCATCACCTGCCAGGTGCACTTCTGTCTACATCACCCAAAGGAGCAGCTTGGAAATGAATATCAAACATTATTGACATTTTGTGTTATTTACTCTGCTCATGCTAACACACAGTAAGTTGTTCTTGCTACTTCATCAAGTTTCCACGTGAGCACTTGCAACTCATTGGCCCACCTGTACGTCAAGAGTCCTGACTCATGGCTAATTGCATTTCTGCACCCAACTCCCTATTTGCCACTGTGAAAGTTTAATTTTGGAAAGCCACATACAAATACATGTTTAATCTCAGTGGAAATGCACATTCCAGCAATGTTTACTCTCCTCACTCACGTTTGGGTTGATTTTAAAAAACAGGCTGCAGAGGAAGGCAGGGTGTTTGTGCTCATCTTTACAGTCGGGGGTGGAGAAATTTCCATTGGATATTTGCTTTTAAATTTGATGTTGAATCCCAAACTGAAGCAGATGCATTGGTCTCTGCCATCCGCTGCAGCTGGGAACCTGTCTCAAGACTTCGAGCAAACACCTCACAGAGACATAGCTTTGCACAAACAAGTAGGTCAACAAAACTCAAGGCAAGAGATGCCCAAATGAGTAAATACATCTCACATAAGAGGTAAGAGATCTTCAAACCCAGCAAAGCAAGCCTTGTTCAGCTGTACTGTGATAGTTAGGGGAATTTTAGTCAACCATTTTTTATGCTGTTAGAGCTGTTCCCAAATACTAGTTTTACTCATCTCAGTCTGCAAACTGGGAGAGCTATGGTCTGAGGAGCGGAGAGGAGCAGCAGCAACGCTGATGTCTCTAGAAAATGCCCATTAGGTACTTCGATGGAGGAAAGCCAAA